ATGTTTATAAACTTGTTTATTTATTTATCATACTTAAATTTACTTACAATTTACTTGCTTACTATGTTGGTAATATTGTGCGGTTGTTACATTATAAAGTTACGTGTAAATGGGGGAAGTCGTGAAAGTGCGTGTGTGTGTGTGGGACTCAGTCAATGGTTATTTCTATATATTCTTTCACAATGGAAGATGAAGGTGGATAAAATCTATAGAAATAAGAAACAGGGACCTCGCAGATTTCTGGAATTCCTGGGAACCTTACTAATATTTTATAATTGTGAGGGAGGGTAGATATCGCATAACGGAGGGAATTCGGGAATTTCTTACGTAGGTCAAGAACTCTATCGGTCGGAGAAGGAGGGGGGGCGGCAACAGGGAAGGAATCTGCTAATGTGACGTAATGTGCAAGGTCAGGAGGCAGAGAGTCGTCATCATCGTCGGAAAGGATTCCATGATCGGAGGAAGCTGGTGAAGAAGGGGAAGGAGAGGTCTGTCGAGGAAGGGTGGAGGGTTCATGTATATCAGAAGTTTCATCGGGAGGAACGGGGGAATATGATGGAGATTCTAAGAGAGAGGGAGAAGGAGAGCGAGGGGAAGACTGAGTCCGGTGTGTGGAGGTGTGTGTGTTATTGTTAATTTTTATTATGTCAGGATTGCTATTTCTAGTAATATTATTTCTATTGCTGACAGAAGGGGGGAGGTCGGTTCGCTCAGGCTGGTTAGCAGCGGTTCCGCGCCGTAGCGCCCGGTTACGACGGTTCGTCGTGCTAATATCGCGCTCCGCGACTTGAGGTTTTTCCGGGGTTCCACTTAAAAAATGTCATTCGTTTAGTATGTTCTCTTGACGGGTCAAGACCAGCGATTAATTTCCGGAAACTAAAGTGAGCTTAATTTTCTCGCTTAATGTCACCAAAAGAGACTCGGCAGTTGTTCGGAACGACACAAAGTCGTGAACAGCTAGTCCGACTGAAGGGAAATCGGCAGTTGTTCGGAACGACACAAGGTCGTGAACAGCTAGTCCGATTGAAAGGAAATCGGCAGTTGTTCGGAACGACACAAGATCGTGAACAGCTAGTCCGATTGAAAGTAAATTAAAAACTATGAACATGAATTTCTTCCGGATATGAATCGCTTTTGTCAAGTAACAAAATTTACGACAAGCTCAAGGGACCCCTTCTAGATAATACTTAAACTACTGTAATTATTGACTTACTACTTGCTGATCTCGGCAGTCAGGTCGCAACGTCGGCAGGTAGGCCGGCTCAGGATTGTCGGCAACAGTTATGGTTGCAGGCCACTTCACTTACATCTCACTATTTGAACTGGTCGGAATGATTTCGAATAAACTGCAGGAGTGAGACTGACTGATTGATTGATTTGAACGGCCGAGTGTACGGTATTTATACTATTATTCAGGGGCCTCAGTTCCCTTGGCTTTGCCAATCAAACTTGGATCTTGATTCCCCTGTTGCTGTCTTGTGAAAAAGTTGACCTTTGATTCGTGGTTACGCTTTAGCGAGAGCGCCAATCACAGGCTTTAGCCCAATCGGCTGGATTATCTTTTGTTTAAGCTTAATTAGATTCCGCGTTACCACACTCAGATTCGAGATCTCGACGCTTGTTTGAGATCTCTTGTTTCAATTTCCTTTCTGGAGGAGCAGGAGGTCGAATTTTGGCCGGATGACGCACCGCGCACATCACACAACGCGCGAGTATCTATTACCACTCCGCATTCTACTGCGAATTAGAAACCAAATCTGTTTACTTATCAATGTGGCAATGTCTCACATGCAAACCGATTCCAGTTCTTATCGCCACAGGCCGACTCCTGTCCTCCATCCTAGGGAAGTCCTAGTATCTCGGATTCTTAAAGCTACAACTATTTACGATTCTCAGAACGAAAAGATCGTTCTCACGTTGCAAAAAAAAGGACATGAAGTCCAGGACGTAACAATATTGCGCGCCAAGTTTTTTTACATTAAATATTTTGTATTTTAAAAAATTTTACATGGGTTTTTGACTTTTCACACAAAGCGAAATCTATATGATTCGACATAGTTTAAGGTTGTCCACGCAAGGCGATGTCATTTCTTACATCGATGAGTGCTTTATATATAAAGTACACTGACCACATAATATTTTAAACTTTCTATTGTTTTGGAATATTTCATATTTTATATTTTAGAACGTATAAACAACTTACAAATATAATATTTTATATTTTGCAACAATGTATAAATGTACAAGATTTTATTTGGCGCTACTTATTGATATCATTTTTTTTGTAGAATAGATTTTGTAGAGAAAGATTTTTATAGTAATATGTTTTCTAGAGATATACAAGTTGCGCATGTACTTGGCGCTTTTTTTACCTTTTTTTGAAAAGGTTTGTATATACGGTCATAAGAGCCATTCGCTAAATGTTGTGCGGAAATATGCGTGTATATATATATATATATACACTAAGTAAATACAATATACTTAGGTTGTAAAAATAAATAAGTAAATAACCAACAATAATAATAAGTTCTACGCGTAGTATCAAATTAACAATAGAGTTTTTAAAAGCTAAATTCTGGATGACGTGCGAAACGTATGTATCACATACATACACACACACACATTTGAACTTGTAAATTAATACACTGAAAATTTGAATTGCAACTCGATTCTAAAATTCATATAAGATGCTAACTTTTATCACGTATATGAATTACCTATTTTATCTATCCATAAAATTTAAAAAATTTATTGCGAAAAAGACATTTTGACCAGGAGTCGAATTCGGAATCCTCCGATATTTAGCGTTTAGCTCTTAAAATCTATTCTTGATTTGATTTAAATTAATAAATGTTCACTCACGCAATTCTTCGAACACGTGCAGGAGCTTGAACTATCCAACTGATCATAACTTTTGTAATTGTTTCCTCGGTTGTATTTGCGCCGTGTAACCGAACAACAGCTATGAATATATATCAATTTATAATACTACATACATTACATACATTATCATCATACACAATATTAACTTACGCGATGTTCCAAAATAAGTATTTCTGATCAATAGTAATCGATGTTTCGGTTCGGTTCGGTTTGGTAGTGGCTAAAGGGCCGTTAATACTCATACGCCATTCTGGGAAAGCTTAAAATAAGTAAAGCGTGATTGCGATTATGCAGTAAGACTATGGTAAGCAAAGCGATTGGTCGTGCGTGCGATATAGGAGAATGGTGTATAGCAGAAGGAAGAGGGCAGGTGCCGATATACAAAGGCGAAGCCAAAGGGCGGTTGAGAGTGGAGAATCAGAGGTGTATATGATTTTCTGTTATGAATTTATATAAGGCTTTATATATGTCAATGTTATCGGAGAAAGCCAGAGTCACAATGTTTAAGTCACAATTTAAGTCGATGTTTCGAAGCTTGTTGATTAGAGCTTTGTTGGAGCTGTCCGAGCGAATAGGGTAGTGAAAGAAGATGTGATTAGCGTCTTGTAGACGATGTCCACAGTCACAAGCAGGGGAGGTTACAATGCTCTTGGAGGCCAGAAAGGCGCGCGCACAGGCATGGCCGGTGCGTAGTCTAGAGATGAGCTTGATGATAGGGGCGGATAGGAAAGTGCCACGATGATCCGTGTACCAAGAGGGTGAAAGAATATTCTTTTTCTTGTTGATGTAATTGGTTCCTTTGAAAGTACCGTCGGATAGGATTTGCCTTAGAGACTCCGCGCGGGCGACGGCGCGGAAGCAGGAGTACAAGTTACGATAGTGACACTTCCCATACAGCACACAAATATTGCATATACATTGCAGGAATCTTTCACCGCAATGGTGCAATATTGCCGTTTCATTGTGAAATATTGATGCATCATTGTTGTTGAATTGCAGCAACGTTCAAATGTCCGCTTTTAGGAAGATTGCAACGAAACATCACGGCAATATTGCAATGTAACGAATATGCAANAATGCAATGTTACTGCAATTATTAAATAAAATAGTGATTTTAGTCAAATATTAATTTTATTTAATTTTATTTAATTGCGCCATACATATAAGAAAATAAAATTATATGTGTTATATAAAATATATCTGTTATATTACACTTTTTATGATATATACTTTTCTTCTTTTTATTTAAAAAAATAAAATTTTTATTCTTTGATTCTTGCTTTTGCACTTTGCATTTGCACTTTTCAGTTTCATTGTTATTTGCATTGCATTATATATTAAGTTTAAATACTAATAATAAAAGTTAAAGGTCTTGTTGTTTCTTCTTCTTTTCGAAATGTTCGTTTCCTGTTTCCCTGTTTCCTCNTGTTTCTTTTGTTAAGTGTCTGTAAAAATACAATACAAAGTATATAATTACATAAAAATACACATATGGTATTAAATATACATATAAATATGTACAAACTGAACATTTTGTAAATACATACTTTGCTCTCTCTATTCGAACTGGAGCTTGAGCAAGCCATTTAGATATAATGTCTGCTATTTCAGCATCACTAATATGTTTATACACTATACGAACAGCTTCTAAAACATAAAAAGATAAAGAAACATAACTATTAATTTATATACGTGTTTATATGTGTGTGTGTATTTTTATTAATTAAGAATTCGGTCATTTTTGCGAATGTTGCAAAGTAGTAAATAATTTTCTAACTCAGTATAATCTTTTCTATCTGCCTCTGAACGATTGTACGCGCGAATGGCTATTACCAGATATACCTTATATATATGCAAAAATTACTTACGTATGATTAGTCTTGTAAGACCCAAATCTTGAAAAGTTCTCTTAGTCTTTTTTCCAGCCCAGCTAAAATGTTGAGCAAAACTATTTGTTACAGCTTTTTTTAATATATTGCGTACCATTAAGCGTGCAGTGTTTCCACCTATAAGTTTAAACGCGCGCGCGTATTAATCTGAAAAAAAAAAAACGTTTAATATTATAAATATTAGCAAACAATATTATTTTTATATTGATTTATGCTCTATCTCTAAATTCATGTTCTATCTGTACTAACAAGCTATTACATAAATACTCTAATTGTATTATATTATTATTTAAATTTGGAATGTTAGAAATATTTNAAAATCAAATAAAAAATATATTTTTAAAATATTGTACCGCTTCTTCTTTAAAATTAACTTCCTTCAATTGTTCTTCAAAAATTGCTAATTCTTCAAATGTTGTTATAGGCAATTGTATAAGAACTTCTTCTTGACCAGAATAATTGGAATGTTGCATTTTATCTTCTAGTATATNCATTCTATTTTCGATAGAATTAAGTTTATATAAAACTTTATTTAGTTTCCCTAAAACTAGTTTCTTGTATTCTGAAAAAATATTTATATATTACATGTTACACTTAATACTATTTAGTATTAAAAATTACAAAAAAATATCTTCCTATGTTGAAACGTGTGTGTGCGTGCGCGTGCGTGCCCATATATACATATAACGATCTTTCAAAAAGAATAAATAAACTTTATGCTATTTTGTGCATTCCTGAAGTAATGTGTAACACTCTNGTGGAGTATTGTATACATAATTCAACATCTATCTTATATTATTTTACAATTGTTGTTTGTTGTGAATTAGAATCAAGTAAAGAATTATTTTTAGGTGACACCACGAATAATTGCATTGAAAGCAGCTTCTCCTACATTAACATCAAATTTCTTCTTTTACTCTAATATTAACTTTTTAACAAAATATTTTAGACATTATGTTTATAAAACTTTTTATATATAAGCAACTCATTTTTTTTTAAACATCCTGTACACACATACACACACACACACACACACAGAGAGAGAGAGAGAGAGATGCTCATGTATATTGCTTTTATATAAAGTATATCTAAAAATTCTCTAAGTATACTTAAGAGTTATACATAATAATATTTATAAACTTGTGCATACCACGTGTAAAACTATTTTCGGTATCACTATCTTCATTAGATTTTTTTGTAGAATCTTGTGTGTTTCTTGGAAAACTTTCACTGTTGGTAGTTCTATCTAAAGAGAAGAAATATTACTACTTACTTTTGATGTAACCGTTTGATAGTTTTTATAAATTATAGTTATTATAGTAACTTACCACTTCTATTCACTTCATAAGAAATACTTCTTTGGCATAATGCATTTGGAAGATCATTTTGTATCGATCGCTGAATATGCATCTTTTTATTAGATGACACAAAATCTCCAATTTCTGGATAAGAAAACAAAAGTGTAGCAGGATTTTTTCTCACACAAGTGTTTTCGTTTTTGTTGAAACATACATCTTCCTCTGAAGAAGATGACATATACTTTTTAGCTTTTATGCGTCTTCTTTGTTTCTTCTGCTCTCTTAATTCATCAGAAGACATAATATCATCTATATTCGATGTATCCTCCGCAAGGACTAATTTTTCCATCCCTTCTTCATAAGTATCTGTATAATTTAAAANAAAGTCATATAAATTAATTCACAAAAAATAACTTATAATAAATACTTTAGTGATAAGAATAATAAGTATAATATGCACTTTTTTTATCCACTGTATAAATTCTGAATATAATTACTGACTAGTTCTTACTTGCTCTGCCAAAAATTCTCTTAACTGGTAATTCCTCCCATTCTAATGTTTTTTGTGGCATTTCTCTTGTCATTATAGCTTTATTTATTCGAAATTTACTTTTAAAATGAGTTGGCCAAATGCTTGAATTTCTTTCTGCATTATACACAATGCAGGTATTAGTTGTAATCCGTCGTTAAATTCAGCAATTATATATAAATAGCTATTCATTTTTCTGAGATGCAAAATACTTGTGTATCTACTGAGACATGAAAAAAATATATGTATTTCTAACGCATTATATGTGTTTGAATAACAAGTCAAAATATTTTGTGGACATTAAAATGTTAAAAACATGTCTAATGCATTATATGTATA